GCACAGACCGAAACATACACAAGGCAACCATTCCTCTTTTTGATCTGCGCAATGACTTAACTCCATTCCACTTGACAGAGGATGTTTTACATAACATTAAATTGATACTTATCTCCAAAGAGCAATTTCCATGCTACCATTCACGTACTAGTTTCTCCCCCCGCATTGAAAATTCTATCTTTCATTGGAAACTTTACCATTACCTGTCATTTCTGCTATCTCGAGCCTTCTGCGTGACGAGATGTAGTTATTGAAAGAAAACTCTTTCTCCAACTCTGCCTTTTGTTCTTCGGAATACATCTTTCGATTTCCTCCCTTCTTTCTCCTAGTGGTCGTTTCAGCGTTGCCTGTGCTGACGACGTCTGTCGGCTGATCGCTACGTTGGCGCTGAAAGTCTTCTGCCGCTTGTACAGTGGACTCAGGGTTGCATGAGCTGGTAGCCGGCGACACAGCTGCATACCGTGACGTGGGATACTGCGGAGTCTGCCACTGGTTCAAAGCTGCACTCTTTAAGGCGACGGCTCTTGCCTCGCTGCTGACGAGCTGTTGCTGGCCAGAGTCCTGCGAACCATAATTCCACCAAAACGGGTTGTGAGAGGGCTGACTTATTACAACGTTTCCGGCCGGATGAGCTGGGTGCGAACCGGGATGTGCATAAAAGTAATTATGCAACTGCGAAGCAGAAATCAGGTTCCTGTTTGCAACCTTAAACGAAAGTAGCGTTAAGTTCTGTCAGTAATCGGCACAGACATTGCAGCAAATACAACTACTTTCTTATAGACTCCTTCGAAAATGAAACACATTCTGATACGCTTCGAATCAACCAGGCGTGAAGCAAAGAGCCTGTTGTTTGTCATTATGTCGTTCAACTCAAGATTCGCAATACTTGTTATAAGACCAACCTCACGTTACACACACATGGCAAAGATTAAAATGCGAGATTAATTTCAAAGGACCAGCATAATGCCGTGGATTTTATTTAGACATTGTCATTCGTCAACCACGCAATCTCCTCATGAACCGTGGAGCAGTCAGTTTGAGTAACCAAAGACTGACAGATGTCGTGTCGTCTTGCATTAAATTTCCTTAAGTGCATTTAATTGCAGACACCCAAAAGGATGTATTATGGCAGCTATCTATAATCATCGTTGAGACAGAAGTATAATGTTAAACATTCCCTCTTTACCAAAGGAGACTATTAAAGTTGAAGCTAAGACTCGATTATCCGTACCATCGAAGTCAGAAGGAAGCGTATTCTAGTTCAAAATATACAGTAAATAGGGAACACATAAACATGGTTGTTTACAAAACAACATAAAATATATTTCTCATATTTTTTGCATTTTATGCGAAGAAGCTAGGCCGCAATGGATTACGTTTAACTGCTGTGATGAGTTAGAATTGTTTCCATAATAAACGAAATAAGATAATTTGCATACAATAAATATACCAACTTTCGTTTCAAACCACTATTCAGATACCCTGGAAACTTATTCCAGATGAGATGTCCATTATATTTGTAATTTGCCGATTATTACAAGTATTTCACCTCCCGCTGCATACAAGTTATATCACCTCCCGCATAAAGAAATCATGTACGATTTTCAATTATTATAAGTAATGTAATTTCACAGCTACACTACTGTGCAACACCGCTGTTATCTATGATATGCTACAAGTGCTTATTCGCGCTTCCCGCTTAAGTGTACAAATTCTGATGACGGA